GCCATGAAAAGGAATTTTCTTTCCTTGTGATATCTGGGATTTCTCCATTAGTCCAAGAGTTGGTTTTCCTGGACCCCTTTTCCATTATATATGACAGAAAACTTTTTGAAGATTCCAGATGTGTCCTAGAATGTCCATATGTAAAAACTGCACCTCGAATGGTTCAAATATACCAACAGGATGTATTAGATCATAAACAACTATGAAACTGTTTCAAATGTCCTATAACAGCTAGGAATATTATTGGTTCTGAGCTAGTGTGGTGGCACACTCATTTAACCCCAACACTTAGTATGATGAGGCAGGAGCTGAGTTTGAGATAGCCTGAGCTACGTAGCAAGGCAATCTCAAATACACACACACACACACACACACACACACACACACACACACACGAGCAAGATATTAATGACTTTTCTGTGGATACAAAAGTGGTAGAAAAGATTAAACTAAAAATGATCAGCATATGTTTGTTGATGGTGATTTGAAGAGGGCCAAGAGGAGTCGAAAATGTTTCTGGTGGTACAAGGTCAAGGGCCACATCTGGTAATGGCCTTGTCAGGATCCCAAGTTGGCCAAGGGAGTGTACATACAAAGAATGTGTCTGTAATTTTTAATTTTTTAAAAAATATTTTAATTTTTTCTTTAAAAGATTTATTTCATGTATGAGTGAGTGTCTGTATGCATGAATGTGCACCATATACCTGCTTGGTGCCCATAGAGTCCAGAAGAGGGCATCAGATCCCATGGAGCTGGAGTTACACATGGTTGTGAGCTATCTGATGTGTGCCCTGGGAACTAAACCTGGGTCCTGTGCAAGAGCAGCAAGTGCTCTCTCAACCACTGAGCTGTCTCGTCTCTCTAGCCTGATAATATTTTTATTTTTAAGATATGTATGTATGTGTTTGTGTGTCCTGTGAGTGTCAGTGTTGGTGAAGTCCAGAATAGGGTTCAGATTCTCTGGAGCTGGAGTTACAGGCTTTTGTCAGCTCCACCAGGTGGATGCTGGGCACTGAACTCGTCTTCTGTGAGAGCAGTATGTGCTCTTAACTTTGGAGCCATTTCTCCAGCCTCTGTAATTTTTAATTTTTAAAGATCATTTTGATGACTTAGTAGTTCATGAAAGTGAATGTTTTTTTGCTTACCCATCAGTCAGTTTTGTGAGGGGAGGGTGTTTCAATCATGGATTGTGGGAGAACAGAGGTTTATTACCTCTACCACCCCCCAGAAGCCCTTCGTTCATTGAAGTAACAAGGCAGGTGTAAAACCACAGAAGCAATTGGACATTAAAGTGTACGCCGTTTATTCCCAGCACTGGAAAGGCTGAGGCAGGGGGACCCCTGTGAGTTCTAGGCCAGGCTGGTCTACATACTGAGACCCTGTCTAAACAAACAAACAAACAAACAAACAAACACCCACCTACAGTAGAAAGCACTTGGTCTGTTAGATTGCTTTCATTGATGGCCACATCAGCTACAGGACACTAGACCAGAAGGCTCTGGGGCTTCCACAGAGAAAACTGAAGGGTAGGGGTGGAGGAACTGAGAAAAAAAGCCAGTGTGTCTGGATGAGGCTGGAGCTTGTCCTCATGGCATCCGGAGTGGGACTTGAGACTTTATCCCATCTGCAACTTGAGGCCTGAGACTTCTTCCAGATAAGATTTTCGGGTTAATGGTGCTATTCACCACATGGCCTGTGACTATACAGCTGCATCCTGTTACCCTGGAAACTGGCCTCCTTTCCTTCCAATTTTTCTCTGCCTGTTTTGCTACACTGTATAGAGCAGCAGTTCTCAACCTGAGTCACAACCCCTTTGGCAAACCTCTGTCTCCAAAGATATTTACATTGCAATTCATAATAGCGAAATTATAGTTATGAAGCAGCAGCGAAAATAATTTTATGGTTGGGGGGTCACCACAGCATGAGGAACTATATTAAAGGGTCTCAGCATTAGGAAGGTTGAAGACCACTGGTATAGAGTGAAAGACTTTGTCTTAAAACGATCAACAAACAAAAAAAATACCAAATACTATACATGTTTTTATGCTTTAAAAAATCCAGGGGCTGGTGAGCTGGCTCAGTGCTAACCTGGCAACCTGTTTGACCCCTGGAACTCAGGGTAGTAGGAAAGAGCCAACTCCTGAAAGATGTCCTCTGATTTCTACATGTGCGCCATGCACGTATGCACTCACGCACACCATACACACATACATGCACCAATCATGATAAAATTATAAAGAGAGAGTAATAACTCAAGTTTGTCTTTATCCCATGGTTGGTGTCTCATTTATCATGGTGACAAGGTCCTAGGGACATAAGATAGAGGCTGCATCCTTTACCACCTCCTGCTTGAAGTGGCTTAGGCTTATCCCTGGCTTGTGTGAATCTGTTTCTTCATCTGTAGAGTGGACTGGTCCAGACTGTTTCACCTCCACCATGTACTGTTTATGTTTGAGGATTCCTTGAAAATGGGAAGCACAAAGGCCAGGTAGTTAAAATGGTCATCGTGGCTTTGCACTTTGCACTGCTTGGTAGTGTAGTATGTGCAAGTAGCCCTGTCACTCAGGAGGCTGAGCTTGGGCTCAGGATTCAACTCCAGTCTGCTGAGCAAACTAGAGATAGTTTTTGTTTTTTAAATTATTTATATGTATGGATGTTTTGTCTGCATGGATGTCTGTGCACCATGTGCATATCTGGTGTCTGCAAAGGCCAGAACAGGGTGTCAGATTCCCTGGAACTGGAATTACAGACCATGGTGAGGGGCCATATGGGTTAGGGAATTGAACCAGGGTCCTCTGGAAGATCATTCAATACTCTTAACTGCCGAGCCATCTCTCCAGCCCCAGAAAAAGTCTTAAACAAAACAAAGTAAAACAAAATTGCCACTTAAGGACCTGCAGTCCCAGCATATTGGAAGCCCGAGGCAGGAAGACTGCCATGAGTTTGAGGCTAGCCTGAGCAACAGAGAGAGACCATGTGTGAAAAAAACAAAATGATGATTATTTTAGGCTGGCCTGGAAGTCATTATGTAGAACAGGCTGGCTTAAACTCTTGGCAGTCCTCCTGCCTCAGCTTCCCAAGTGCTAGGATTTACAGACATGAGCTATTACATCCAGCTTCCCCAACCCCCTTTTTTGTAAAGTAGTAATTAGGATTTCAGGCTATATTAGTTTTCTACACAAAGTACCACAAATGGTGAACTTGAAGCAACAGAAATGTAACATTTTCACAGCCCTAGAGGTCAGAAGCACCAGATCAAGGTGTCTGCTCTCTGGAGATTCTGGGGAAAGGTTCTTCTTCACTTCTCCTGCTTCTGGTGGTGGCTGCCAGCCCTTAGTTCCATGCCTCATAGGTGCTACACTCCAGTCTTTGTCTTCACATGGCCTTCTCGTCTGAGTACATCTGTCTAAAGTTCCTTCCTAGAGGGACAGCAGTGGTTAGATTAGGGATAATCCTAATTCAGTATGACCTCACTTGAACTAATGATGTCTATAAATACTCTCTTTTTCTGTTCCTTTTTTTCTTTTTGGTTTTTCGAGACAGGGTTTCTCAGTGTAGCCTTGGCTGTCCTGGAGCTCACTCTATAGAACTCTTAGAGATCCACCTGCCTCTGCCTTCCAAGTGCTGGGATTAAAGGCATGCGCCACCATCACCTAGCTACAAATATTCTATTTCTATTAATTAATTTTTTTGTTGTTTTGAGACAGGATCTCACTATGTAGCCCTGGTTGGTCTGGAACTCATTAAGTAGACCAGGCTAGCCTCAGACTCACAGATATCTACTTGATTCTGTTTCTCAAGTGTTGGGATTAAAGGTGTGTACTTCCACACCTGGCTGTTACTAATTTTAAATGAAGTTTGAAGTATTATAAGATAAAAAACTCGGGGGCTGGAGAGATGGCTCAGAGGTTAAGAGCACCAACTGCTCTTCCAGAGGTCCTGAGTTCAATTCCCAGCAACCACATGGTGGCTCACAACCATTTGTAATGAGATCTGGCGCCCTCCTCTGTATACATAATAAATAAATAAATCTTTAAAAAAAAAAAGATAAAAAACTCTCAAGTTAATTGTAGCAGGCTTTCTTTTTGGCCACCACTCAGCTCTCAAATCGTGACATGGGCACTTATTATTAGTTATGAATGCTCAGATTTACACACATATATATGCTAGCTCTTATAACTTAAATTAACCTGTTTCTCTTCATCTACATTTTGTCTCAGTGCTTTTTATCTTTCTCCCATTCTGTATGTCTTACTCCATCCATGTCTTGCTGGCTGGCAGCTACCTGGCTGGCTGGCCCCGGGTGTCTCCCCCTTTCTCTCTCGTTCTCTCTTCTCCTTCTCTTCTCTCTTGAGCCTAGAGCCTCCTTCTACTTACTCTCTCTGCCCACCAGCCCTGCCTATCTCTCTACTGTCTATCTATTGGCCGTTCACCTTTTAACTAGACCAATCGGGTGCCTTAGGCAGGCAAAGCATTACATCTTTACATCGTTAAACAAATGTAACATCAACAAATGTGACACAGTGATACCTCTTTACATAGTTAAAGTAATCTTCCACAACAGTTAACTGTATTATTATCTCAAAAGCCTACCTTCAGGGTGAGTGTTATCTAGGGACACATTATCCTTGCTAGATTTTCCTTTGTTTTTATCACATTTGCTTCTCCCACCACCCCCATGTAGTCCAGACTGGCCTCAAAGTTGCTATGTAGTAGAGGATGGCCTTGAACTTCTTGTTCTCCTACCTCTACTTCCTAAGTGCTGGGACTGCTGTGCTTGGTTTTGAACATTTGCTTTTTAACATTGTTTTATTTAATCAAGCTGTGCTTTAATTTTCCCAACTATTGAACCTGCCTGTCTTCCTTTCTGTTTTTAGTTAGGGTCTCTCTGGCTGGCCTCAAATTCTTGATCCTCCTGCCTCAGCCTCCCCACTGGTAGGATTATAGGCATGTGTCACCACACCCATCTAAACTGTGCTTTGAAATTATTTTCTGTTTAGGAAGTTGAGAGACTTACTGAGCGGCTAGAAGAAAAAGAGAGAGAGATGCAGCAGCTGATGAGCCAGCCTCAGCATGAGCGAGAGAAGGAAGTCGTCTTGCTTCGGAAAAGTGTGGCAGAGAAGGAACAAGCCAGGGCTGCCAGCGACATTCTGTGCCGCTCCTTGGCTGATGAGACCCACCAACTACGCAGGACATTGGCTGCCACTGCCCACATGTGCCAGCATCTGGCCAAACGTCTGGATGAGCGACAGCATGCACAGGGAGACACTGGGGAGGAAAGCCCTGATGAGGTAGGCAGTATAACTAAATCAAGTGGGGACTGATGGGCAAGAGTCATTGCCTGCCATTCTCTAAGACTTCTGTGCAACCACTAAGGTCTAGGGTGCCACAGAACCCATTCTGTTCTCATCAAGGAGATAAGCTTGCTTCTCCAGCGAGATCTGATGGAGCATGTGACAGGAAGCTGAGTAGCCTGCCTCCCCAACTCCCAGCATTGTCTCTAGCTGATCCTGCACACAAGTGGGGATGGCACTTCGGTCTTTTCTGCCACTGAGGATAGGAAGGAAGAGTTGGGGGTAAAGGGGCTGCCCGCAGGAAGTGTTGTCACACGTATATTCGACAAACAAAGAAACTGAGGCAGAGCTAGGTGATACTGCTAAGGAGGAGCAATGCCTCCACATGCCACATGTGCAGAGTCCAGGCCTAAAGCTGCTGGGAGATCCATGAGTGCCAGCCTTTTGCAGACTCCATGTATCTGAGTGGTAAGAGTTGATCCAACCACAAGCCTCTTGAAGAGCCAGAACTTCTGTTGCCAGCAACATGGCCTGCCATAAGCCACCCTCAGGGCTACAGCTTCTTCATTATTACATGACAGTGAACATCTTCGTGCCTCAAAACTATGAACCCCATGTAGACACTGTGTGAGGTGGACAGCAGATGATGACAGAGGAACCAGAAGCCAGAAGGACCAGGTTGCAGTAGGGACCCAAGAAGAGCCCTCTGTGCCTCCAGGCCAGGCCAGTTTGGTGGAGGAGAGGAGCACGACCAAGGTTCTGGCATCCAGGAGGTAGTCATGGGGAAGAGGTGCATCTGGCAAACCAGAGGGTTCCTGGACAGGAATGGCAGGTGACGGTTGGGACCAAGACTCAATATGGGTCTGGTACTGGGCATGGTACCTTATTTCCTACTGCCAGGTGGTGCGGATGTGTGTGGAGCTGACGGAGAAACAGGTACCTATGGCACACCTTGCCTCAGTTACCAGTGGGTGTATTTGTGACTTTTCTGTTCCTACAATACTAACAGAAACAAGCTCAGGGAGGGTTTCAGTCCAACATGCTGGGGACGGCATGGCCACATTCATAGTAATGGGAACTTGTGACAGAGGATCCTCACATCATGGCAGACCAGGAAGCGCGTGGAGAGACAGAGATAGACAAAGAGACAGAGAGACAATGAGACCCTGGAACTAGGGGCGGGGTATCAGCTTCAAAGGCCTGCCCTTAGTGACTTACTTCTGACTGCTGGGTTACACTTCATAAAATTTCTATAGCCTCTACAAATGGCACCATCACCTGGGGGTCAAGCTTTCAAACTAGGAGCCTTGGGGAACATTTCTGATTCCGATTATAACAGTGGACCAGGCTGAGTCTACCTCTCATGTACACTGTCCCACACAGAGCCTCTAAGTCACACTCCTTTCTAGGCAGTTCTGTGAGGCTACAGTGGTGTTCATGAGACCATGTGTGTTCTGAGGAAAGGGGACATACAACTACCAGCAGCTTCTCTAACGTGGAGAAACTTGGTCAGGAACCATCCATCTCAGCTGGATTTCACAAAAAGATCACCCAAGAAGGAACACAGTTAGTTGTATTTGTTGCTGGGTAGGAGGTGGTGGGTGCTCTTGTCCAAGTTTGTATCACTGTAACATTCCCTTTGAGGATCTTGAAGTAGCCTCACACCGTGATCAGCCTGAGGTGGGTGCTGGATTGTGGCAGACAGGCACCTCATGTCTCTTCAGTCAGTATCACTTCTCAGCCCTGGCCTTGGCTGAGTCATCTGGGGCTTCCCAGCAGACTGGGTTAGGACATGCACTTCCTGTCATTCAAGGGGAATTCTTAAAGCTAATGTCAGTGATTTACAGTCCTCTGTACTGTTCAGTGCCTGGAATTTCTGGGGGTACAAAGTATACCCCAGAAAAGTTTTAATTGATTTTACAGCTGGGTCAGTTAGCTGCTAATAGGTTGTAGTTTGGGGTGTGGCTTCTGTGAGTAAATGCCCCAATTCTGACCCTGTGTGAAGCACAAGTTAGGTTGTCCCTCACCCAGATTAGTTTGCTTGTCTATAGGCAGGATTTCTGTCTTGACTCTGGAGGAGGTAAAAATGATCTGTGCAGGCCCATATCTGGGACCTGGAAAGCCTCCTGGATCCTGGGGGTGGTCTGCCTCTGTTAGTAAAATTATGTTCCTGTCCTCCTCATTGCCTGTGATGATAAGCCCTGGCACTGTAAAGATTTTGCTACAGCTGGTGTGCTCATTGCTTTAGACTTGACAACAATAGAATGTTTAGGTCCAGAATACTTAAAATCCAAACAGCTCGTGGTGGTAGGTAGGAAGGGACAAGGACAGTGTCAAGAGTGGCACACCCAGAGAGTCTCTGCCAAGGCTGTCTCCTGGCCTCCCTCAGTCGGGAGTGGGTCTAGGAGGAGCTGGATTTGCAAAGTCCCTTTTTGTATGTTTTACTTCTCCCTCAAGTGAAGAGTCACCACCTCCTACGCCGCAGCTGCAGCAACGGTCTGTGGCCTCAGCCTCTGGCTCTAACTTCTCCTTTTCTGTACGTCATACACACACAGTGACATGACTTCTTTGTCTTCCTTATGCAGCTAGGGCATACAAGCAGGAATGCTTCTGGCAAGAATGTTATTGAGAAGTTACAGGAAGAGAATCGACTATTAAAACAGAAGGTGACTCATGTGAGTATCTAACATTGAAGAGGAGTATTAACCCTGACAAATGGCAAATGAAGCTTTTTCTTTTCTTTTTTCTTTTTTTGTTTTTTTCAAGACAGGGTTTCTCCATGTAGTTTTGGTGTGTGTCCCCTGGATCTCGCTCTGTAGACCAGACTGGCTTCGAACTCACAGAGATCTGCCTGCCTCTGCCTCCCGAGTGTTTGGATTAAAGGCATGTGCCAACACCACCTGGCTGGGAAGTAGTTTTTAAGGCAGGAAAATTACACTGAGTTCATATCTGTTTAAGACCCTTAATATGGATGTTACTCTAATGTATCAGGATTCCCCGGTAGGCTTAGAACTCTCTCTATACAAAGGAAAGGGAAAGGGAGGCAGTTTCATAAATCGTTGCTGATAATCCCAGTTCCGTGCTGGCTTGAGCAAACAAGTCTTCCGGTTCTGTCTTTTCAGGTAGAAGACCTCAATGCCAAGTGGCAGCGTTACGATGCCAGTAGGGACGAATATGTGAAGGGGTTACATGCTCAGCTAAAGAGGCGGCAGGTCCCTCATGAGCCTGAGCTGATGAAGAAGGAGATTTCCAGGCTTAACAGACAGTTGGAGGAGAAAATAAACGACTGTGCAGAAGCCACACAGGAGCTGGCAGCTGTGAAGATGGCCCGGGACACTGCGCTGGAGCGAGTGCAGATGCTAGAGCAGCAGGTGTCCTGGGGTCTGGGCAGGACCGGCAGGGATGTTGGCCCACACCACAGGCAGTGGCCCTTGTCTTGGGACAGCCTAGGCTGAAGGCTTGGTGCCTGTGGGTGGAATACAGTCAGGGAGTAGTGGGAGAAGCCAGTTAAGGGTTTTTTTCCTTCCTTAAATAGAAATGAACATCTGTCTTTTCTCAGATTCTTGCTTACAAGGATGACTTCAAGTCAGAAAGGGCAGATCGGGAACGAGCTCATAGTAGGATTCAAGAACTGGAAGAAAAGGTCATGTCTTTGATGTCCCAAGCATCCCAGAGACAGGTAAGAGCACAAGAGAATTTCTCCCCCCATTAGAATTAGTCATTTTTATTATGAATTTTGAACCTCTGTCTGCAAAGATGTATTGGCTGACAATACTGTTAGTGATGGGCCCTTCCCAGCTCTGGGCAGAGCAACCTCTCCTGGGCCTAGGGTATGGCCATAGTTCTCTGTGGTTCTGTATTTAGCTGTGGAGGTTGCCATGGTGGCCTGCGTTGGTAAAGGCTAGTTGTCTTCAGGGCCTTTCCTGTTTCCCTGCTTATTGTTGCCATGCAGTGTAAGTATATCCCAGGCCCCAGGTGCTTTATGGGTACTTCTGTAAGTGTCTGTCCTCTTGTGAGGCAGAGACCCTAGTTCCTATGTTGCAGAGGTGTGACCCAGGCCCCAAGCACTAAATGAGGTCCTCCAGGATAGCCAGTGGGCCTGTTGCCTGCCACCTCTGTTTTTAGTGGTGGTGTATGTTGTCAGTGGAAGTCTCTCAGGATGAAAGCTGGACATGCGGGCCTTTACCTCTCTTCCCTGGATAGATTCATGCTCTGCAAATTCCCAGGGAAGGTTTGTTACTTTGGCCACTTAGTGTCCATGCATCTTCTGTTCTGGGGTAAACACTGGGCTCCCCTCAGAGAACTTCCTGCCCTGACATAGCTTGGATAAGAGAGGAGCCTCTGGAAACCAGAGAGAAGGCAGAAGTGACTTTGAAATTGCTCTTCCCAATAAGATGTGAGAGGAACTGAGGATCTGTGAAGGCCGCCCACACTGTTCTGTTATGAACAGCTGCCAGACCTCATCAGCCTCTGCCTCCCTTCCTCTGCACCAGGGCACAGGGTCCTGGTAGTTCCCTTGAGCTAAATTCACAACAGGGGGCTGGGTACAAGCACTAGTTCTAACGAATGGAAGGATTTTGTTGGAAACCTGTGCCCCTCCCTAAGTCCGGCCAACAGGGTGGTGTCAGAGGGGTTCAGCAGTCAGAGGACCCTCCCCAGAGCCTTTGTGTCCTTTTGGCATCATATAATGGAGTGTGGGTGTTTCCTATCCCGTTCTAGATCAGGCTTGTTCAGGGTGCTGTGGCCATAGGAGGCTATTCTCCTAGAGCACCAGGACTGCAGGCATAGGACAGAATCCTCTCTGTCCCATGGGCAGGAATGGGGATATTTTCTAACATGACTGGGGGTTCAGTGGCTCCTTTGTGCTTTTAGATTGTGAGGTCGCTAAAGGTGCAGTCGTGACGGCCTCTTAGGCAGCCTTTCAGGGATGTGCCAGAGGAGCGAACACACCAGTTCTAGGCCTGCCAAGCCAGGTTCTCTAAGGGATTCCTGATCAGCCCCAAGGGCTAGATTTCTGGTGGGGACCAAGGCTTTTGCATTAGCTGTGGCCCCTCAAGCACCTACTGTTGCTCCACCCAAGGGGGACAACCACATGACAGCGGTGCTGAAGTATGAGTGCGAAGACATTGTCTCTGAAAAAAATCCACTTTCAATGTAAAGCACCAAGACCAGTAGCAATGGGCATTACTGCCCACAGTGCTTTGTGGCATTTGTTTAGAGCATATGTGCCAGGCCATGTCAAGGGTGCACTCATGGCTGCCACTGTAGGTCTTTTGAGTGTCTAGCACCTCAAATTACATTGAGGTACAGTGGGACTTAGTTTGCCTGCTCCCTGGCTAATGCCCTGATGCCTATACTACCCCGAGCTTTGTTTCTCTCTGTCTGGTGGTAGTGGGGCATGACAGCAGGGTCACTTCCTAAGGCTGAGGGCTCCAATCAGACCTTCCAGTTCATGGATGGGGAGAAAACTCCACTCAGGCCTGTCCTTTCATGAAATGAGCAAGTACCTATAGGATCTCTTGAGTTGTTCACTCAGTACCTTTATCTAGAAAGCAAGCAGCATTAGGATTTGAGGAATGAGGTCTTCCAGTTTAAGCTTTTAGAAACTCCCGAGAGCCAAGTAAAACACCTTGATTTCTGATCTTTGTTCCACACTACTAGTGGAGAAACTCTTGCAGTATGTGGACTGAGACCTGATGTTTGGAAGTGAAGCATTGTGGTATAGCAAGAAGCAAGGCAATGGGATTTAAATTCTACTCTGTGACAGATACTGTCTCTAGTTGTTAGAATCTAGGGTCAGGCTTTGTGACTTCTAGCATAGCGTATAGTAAACTGACATTTGACTTCTCAGCAGGACTCCAGGGAGCCAGGACCCTGTCGGATTCATACGGGGAACAAAACTGCCAAGTACTTAGAGATGGATGCACTGGAGCATGTGGCACCTGGTGGATGGAGGCCTGAGCCTGGGTCCCAACAGATGGAACTTCCTGCAGAGGGTGGGCATATCTGCATAGCCCATAGAGGTCAGGGTGACCTTCAGTGCCCTCACTGCCTGTGGTGCTTCAGTGATGAGCAAGGCGAGGCATTCCTCAGGCACCTGTCTGAGTGCTGCCAATGAGCCAGAGCCACCATGCCCATTGTGGCCCTAACCAGCATAGCTGCTCTAAGGGATTGGGTAGGTGTCCTCACACTGTCCTCATCTCACTCATCTCATGTCCTCATCTCATGTAACACTGTCCTGTTACATTCTGATAGAATCTAGGGTCCACCGATGGGCAGGGGCACTGATTGATAGGTCATTTTTTTTTTTTTTTGGTTTGGCAATGGGTCAGACTGGGCCAGAGGGAACTATTGGCAGAGCAGAAGGAAGAGATGGGAGCAGGGGCATCAAGTGGGTATCAGTCTTGTCTCTCACATGGAGTTTGGACCCCAGCTGTTGATTCAAAGTTGCAAACCATCTGGTGTGGCAGTATCCAGAGGCCTGCTTGCACCTAGAGTTGTGTTGCTTGCTGGAAGGAGAAGGTGCTGTGGGAGCAGGGTGTCCTCTCCATCCTGTAGTACAGTGAGGTGTCTCTCAGTCTGATCTGTGCTGCACTAGTTGCCAGTACACTAGCACCTTCCCAGACACAGCAGGGTCACAGGGGTGCACCCAGTACCATCACCTTGCAATAACACTTGTATTTCCAGAAGTGAAGCACCTTTATTTCCTCATCATTTATTTTTTTTTATTTTTATTTTTTTAATAATAAATGGACTTACTACTGTGTTGCTCTAAGTGTTGGGCTAGGATGTGTGCAGGGATGATTGGTGTTTTCTGGCTGCTTAGGAAAGACCACTAGTAAGGAGAAACATGCCTGCTGTCTTCCCCAATTCAGAGGTGTGAAGGATAGCCCTGCCTGCTAAGGCTTCACGAGCAGAGGCTGCCTTTGGAGTTGAGGGATGAAGTCTACCAATTTAGGGTTTTCACCCTTAGGAACTTCAGAGAACCAGGTAAAATCTTGTAACCCCTGACCTATGTTCCACACTACCTGGAGAAACTCTAGGATATGTGGACTGAAACCTGATGTTTGAGGGAAATGGGAAACTGGCCATCCTTTGACAGAAGCAAGAAGCTGAGTTTGAGTTTGGAACTCTACTGATACTTTTTTTTTTTTTTTTTAAAGTACAGAATTGTTACAGTATTCAGGCAAGAGGTCACTGGATAGGGTGATGTTATGAGCCACATAAGTGCTGGGTACTAGCCCAGTGCTTTGCCTTGGGACTCTTCAGTCCTGTCCCAGGACATAAAAGAAAGTGTAGGTATGAAGTAGGAGGCAGGCCATACTGACAATGTATAAGGACTGCTAAGCCAGGGCAGCATGTGATTGTGTCATGGTGTGTCAAATGATAAGACAAAGGGGGAGCTGTGTGCTAAAAGAAGACTGCACTGTGCTAAGGGTTTGCCATGTATTAATTCCATCCTTGTAACAGTTTTAGAAGGCTGTATCATTCTCATCACAGGTTATGGTGGTATTTTATTTGTACTGAAATATGATTTTATTTGTATGTTAATAAATAAAGTTGCCTGGGGGTCAGAGCTAATAGCAAGCCATAGCAGAAGCCAGGCGGTGGTGGCACACGCCTTTAATCCCAGCACTTGGGAGGCAGAGCTAGGCGGATCTCTGTGTGTTCAAGGGTACAGCCAGCATGGAGCACACGCCTTTAATCTCAATACCAACCATAGAAGACCTGGAGGTCTGTACAGACAGGCAGTGATGAAGAAGTCATGTGGTTGGGTTTACAACCAATGAGAAGGCAGAACAGAAAGTCAATAAAAAGAGAGAGACACAGGAAGTAGGTCTCTTTCAGAGGGGAAGGACAGCAGCGGCAGTGAAGGGTAAAAAGGGTTTTTAAGCTCTTAGCTATTGCTCTGACCTCTCGGGCTTTCAACTCTGCATTTGGCTCTGTGTTTCTTATTTAATAAGACTGTTACATCTACAACAGGTAAAGAAGATGAGGCACCAAGGGGCTAAGTCACTTCACCAAGATCACAGGATTAAATGGCAGAACTCATATTGGAGACCAGGCATGGAGTGGAGTTGGCCCAAGAATGTGTCTACATGTGCTGCAGGTAGCAGAGCTGGAGGGGTAGGGATGCCCAAGGAGCCCAGTTGATGCCACCTAGATTTCCCGATTTGAGACAGAGTCACAGAATTGATTTTGATTTGGAATGGTTATTTTCTTGCTATCTTCCCACTCCTCCTGTGTGAAATGGGAATGTTTACACTGTGTCATTATATACTGGAAGTATATAGCCAGTCTTTTGATTTATAAGGGTTCATAGAGCACCTTGAGTCTCAGAAGAGACCTTGGACTTTGGAACAGTGTTGGGACTGTTAAGGACTGGGAGGAAACCAGTCATGAACCAAGGTAAAGCTTATTGGTGCTTGTGAGATTTCCAGCATCGTCAGAAGCTTCAAATTCAGGGTGAGGGACTACATTTCACTCCAGTTTAGGTCCACAGGTTCTCTGGAAGTTCCATATCTTACAACAGCTTCAGTGAAAGATGCAGACCCAAAGTAGGGTGCTGATCTGAAGAAAGACCCATTGGCACTTGGGGATTTCCAGAACTCACAGCAAAAGCTGAAGACCCATGCAGGAGGCACCAGCATACCTGATCTAAATAGGAAGACTTGAGATAGAGCCTCTGGCCCTAAATACCAACCCCACAAAGGGAAATGACACCTCAACTTTACTATAACTTAGTTCTTTCCCGAGCATTGTAAATGCCATCACTGAATATATAAAGGAGATTTAAATATAAAAACAACAAAAATAGAAAAGAAATAAAAATTTAACCAACATATTAATTCCAGATGGGCAAGTCCTAGCACAGAAACAAAAACAACATGAAAAGCCAAGATAATATGTCTTCCTTTTAAAGATTATTAATTCCATACTGGCTCCTAAATGGGAATACTTTCTTAGAACTTCCAGACAAAAGAATTAAAAATAATTATAACTGTGTTCAAACAGCTTAAAGAATACATGAATGCACTCCGAGAGAACGAATACAAAGACCTAACTGAAATAATTTAAGTCATTCTAAGAAATGAACACTGACTTCAATAAAAAGAACTGCTGAAGAAAAACCAGGCTGAGGGGCTGGAGAGATGGCTCAGAGGTTAAGAGCACTGACTGCTCTTCCAGAGGTCCTGAGTTCAATTCCCAGCAACCACATGGTGGCTCACAACAATCTGTAATAAGGTCTGGCACCCTCTTCTGTATACATAATAAATAAATATTTAAAAACAAAAACAAAAATCAGGCTGAAATGATGCTGGAAATGAAAAACCCAGTAAGCCAAATTAAAAGCTCAGTGGAATCTTCACCAACAGAATGGATCATGTAGGAGAGTATTAGGGCTGGAAGACATATATAAGGATTGGATCAAACAGCTCAAGTCAATGAGGAATTTTTTTAAAAGGTGAACAGAATATGTGAAAGCTTTGGGACACCATAAAAACACTAAATCTTTGAATTATGAGCATAGAATAACACACCAACCATAAAAAATATAAATATTTTTTTAAAATTATTTTATGTGTGTGGGTATTTTCCCTGTATCTCTGTGTATCATGTATGTGCTCGGTGCTCATAGAAGCCAGAACAGGGCATTGGATGCCCTGGAACTGGAATTACAGACAGTTGTGAGTCACAATGAGATCAAATCCTGGTCATCTGAAAGAGAAGCCAGTGCTCTTAAGGCCTAAGCCTTAAAGCTTCATAAAGAAAATATTTTCAATAAAATAGAATTTTTCGACTCTAGAGAAAGAGATGCCAAGTTAGATACAAGAATCCTACAGAATATCAAATAGGATACGAAGATAAGCTCCTGACAATATAGTTTAGTTAGAACACAAAAACACAGGTCAAAGAAAGGGAACTGCAAGCTGCAAAAGACAAGGGTCAAATCACCTATAAAGGCAGGCCCATCAGAATAACACCTGATTATTTTGCAGACAGACATTTTAAAGTCGAAGGGCCTAAAAAATGTATTCTGAAATACAGCTCTGAAAGAATGTAACTGTAAAATGAGATTATTTTACTCCAGCAAACCTATTAAAATTGAAGGAAATATAAAAAACTTTCCATGTTAAAAAGTTTAAAATAATTTATGACCACTAGGGCAGCTCTACAGAAGATAATGGAAGGAATATTCTGGTCTCAAGAGAAGTATAAAAATGATAAAAGTGTCATAGGACTAACTATTCATAAGAGGTAAAGATAAACATGAAATCAACAGCTGGGCGGTGGTGGTGCACGCCTTTAATCCCAGCACTTGGGAGGCAGAGGCAGGCAGATCTGAGTTCGAGGCCAGCCTGGGCTACAGAGTGAGTTCCAGGACAGGTTCCAAAGCTACACAGAGAGACCCTGTCTCGAAAAACCCAAAAACAAAAACATGAAATCAACAGAATGACAGAAGTCATTATACTTTCAATAATAACTGCATATTAGTAGTCTTAATTCTTCAATAAAAAAGACAGATTGGATTCGTAGGCTGGATTAGAAGACAGGATTCATCTTTATGCTGCCTCCAACAAATACATCTTACCACCAAAGACAGACATCACCTTAGTGTAAAAGGGTAGGAAAAGGTATTCCAAGCAAATGGAACTAAGAAACAAGTAGGCATAGCTATCCTAGTATTCTGACAAAACAGACTTCAAACCAAAAATAGAAGAGACAGGAAGGGCACTTCATACTGATCAATAGAACAGTCTATCAAGAGGACATTATAGCTGGGCCTATCAGCATACCCCTTTAAGATTAGCACTCAGGAAGCAGAGGCAAGCAGATCTATATGAATTGGAGGCTAGCCTGGTCTATATAGACCGTCTCAAAAATAAAAATTATAATTCTGTCCCTCCCTCCCATCCATCCATCCATCCATCTATAGACACATACATATACATATGTGTGTGTGTGTATGTATGTATATATATATGCCAAGTATGGGAAAACATACTTTCATAAAACACAAGTAGATGTACAGCCACAGAGTAATCCTAATACAGTGATAGTGGGTGACTTCAATACCTCACTCTCACCAGCAGACAGGTCATCTGCACAAAAACTAAACAGAGAAACACAAGTTAAGTGCCATCATAAATGCAATGGCTGTAACAGATGTTTATAGAACATTCCCCCAAACTCATCAACTATTAGGACACAAAGCAAGTCTCAACAGGTGTATGAAAATTGAAATAACATCCTATATTTTATCTGACCAAATAAAGCAAGGTATCAACAGCAATAGAAAGTATACATCTCATGGCAATTCAATAATATACTATTGATTATACTATATGTATATATAGTATATACTATATACTATATGTATAGTATATACTATACACTATTGAATATACTATATGATGATGGGTCACTGCTGAAATTAAGAAGGAAATTAAAAAATCCATGGGACACGAAAAGGGTCCTAGGGTGGAAGTTGATAGTGGTAAATATCTATATCAAAGAATTTTGAAAACTCAAAGTAAACTGATATACCTCAAAGCCTTAGAAAAACAAGAAGAAACCAAACCACAAGAATGGAGGGGGACAAATCATCCAAAGCAGGTCAGAAACCAATGAAATAGAAATAAACAATTACAAAGAATCAATGAAACAAAAAAGGGTACTTTGAAAAGACAAATAGAATTGACAAACTCTTTAAAAATTAACCAAAAGAGAAGACCCAAATTAATAGAACTGAAAGGTGAAAAGGAAGATATCAGAACAGATAGATACCAGTGAAACTCAGAAAACAATGGGGATAGACCCTAAGAACCTACACTTATTTCTTTTCTTTTCTGAGATAGGATGTTGTTATGTAGTTCTGGCTGTCGTTGGAACTCCTATGTAGACTAGGTTGGCCTCGAACTCACAGAGATCTGCCTGTCTCTACCTTTCTGAGTGCTAGGATTGTGCCATTCATGACTGGCATCTTCCAAAAATTTTATGAAACCAGTATTATTCTGATCAGGTAAACATGGCAGACACACACGAAAGTTAGACTGATCTCTCTAATGAATGTAAATACAAAATCCTCAATGAAATACAAACTGAATTCAATGTCACACTGAAAAGCACTTATCATGACTATTTTGACTACTCCATGCAGGGATGATTCAACATACATAAATCAATAAATGTAATCCATAAATGAACAAAAAAAAAAACAAAAAAAAAAACCCAAAAACCCACACCCAAAACCAGAAATCACATAAACATAGAAAAAGCCTTTGACAATATCCTGCTGTGAGATGTTTTTCTGTATGCTGTGAATATGTGTTGCTCTGATTGGTTGATAAAGCTGCACTGGCATATGGTAGGGCAGGATGGAGCCAGATGGGAAAATCCAAGAGGGATAATGAGAGGAGAAAGAAGAGGAAGGAGACACCAGCGGATGCCAGGAGAAGCAAGAGTAAAAGTACTGATAAACCACAGCCACATGGCAACTTATAGATTAATAGAAATGGGTTGTTATAATAGCTAGCTAGTAAGAAGCCTGAGCCATAGGCCATATAATTTGCAATTAATTTTAATCCTCTGAGTGATTATTTTATAAGTGGCTGAGGGACCACGGGGCCAGGCATAATTGGAAGAATGTAAACCATGAGGCCAGGCAGGACCAGAGAAAACTTACAGCTACAATATCCAACATCCTTTTGAGATCGAAGTCATAGAAAGGCTAGATATGGAGGGAGCATACCTCAATCTAATAAAGACTATATACAACATATAGCCAACATCATACTAAATAGAGAAAAACTCAAAGCATCAGGAACAAGACAAGAGTTTCCATTCTTTCCAGTTCTATTCCATATAATGCTTGAAGACTTAGAATAATACAAAAAGAGAAGGGATACCAACAGGAAAAGAAGTATCTCCTTTTGCAGATGATATCATTCTATACATAAGAAGTCCTAAAGAATCCACCAAAAAAATTCTTTGAGTTGATAATTATGTTCAGCAAAGTGACACACACAACTTGGGAATAAATTAAGCCAAGGAAATTAAAGACCTCTATAATGAAAGTTTTAAGACACTGAAAAAAGAATTCAAGGAATACACTAGAAGATAGATACCCCCATACTCATGGATCAAAAGAATACTGTGAAAAATGACCACCCCACTTAAAGGTCCAAAAATTTATATGGAGGCACAAACCAGAGATAGCCAAAACAATCCTCAATGAAAAGAACAGTGCAGAAGGTTTCATTACACCTGATTCCAAGTTACACATCTGATTCCAAGGTATACTAGAGCTGTATTAATTAAAAACAACAACAAAAAAGCATGATACTGGCATGAACACACAAATCAATGGAATAGAATTTAAGACCCCCTATATAGGTCCATGCAACTACAGTTAACCTGGATTTTTACAAAGATACCAAAAATATACATCAGAGGAAAAAAAGCGTCTTAAAAATGATGCCCAAAAAGTGTCAGGCACAGAAAGAAATGAAACTGGATCCTTCTTACTATGCACAAAACTCCCAAATGGATCAAAAACCTCAATCTAAGACCTGATAGTTTCAGAGTGCTAGAGGGAAAGTACAGCACATGCTACAATGTATACACACATGAAAGGACTTTCCGAGGAAGACTCCTATCTCACAGGAAATAAGACCAAGAACTGACAAATGGGATCTCATCAAACTAAAGGAACTGAAGTGAGTAAATAGATAGCCTACAGAATGGGAGAAAAATCTCTGCCAGCTGTTCATCCAATGGGGGATTAGTGTGTAGAATATACGAAGAACTAAAAAAGCTAAACAGTGGGTGTTGTGGCACATGCTTTTAATCCAGAACTTGCTTTTGACCCCAACACTCAAGAGGCAGAGGCAGGCATATCTCAGAGTTCAAGGCCAGCCTGGTCTACATAGTAAGTTCCAGGACAGCCAGGACTACATAGTGAGACACGTCTGAAAAATAAACAACACACAAACCATAAATAAAACAAGATTTTTTTTTTTAAAAGGTAAACATTAAAAACAAAAAACCCAATGAAAAAATGGTCTGTGGAACTGAACAGTTTCTAACAGTCTGGATCATCTTCAGGACTGTGACGCCACTGCTTCAGTTCTTGTCTTGCCTTCATGAAATCTTGGCTTCCATTCCCAGTGCACGTGTGTGTGTATAGATGTATGCACATGTGAACCTTTTTGGCTACCGATTCAGGTACTTTTTATGTCCTACCTTTTCCAGAACTCCAGTTCCACAAACACTGCAGGCCGCTCCTTTTACTCTTCAGTTCTCCTCTCCGCCATCCACTTTGAAACTGCTTATACACAAGCCATTAATTCACCAATGTCTTCTGAGGGTAGCTCCAACTAGAGCATTTTCTATCTCATAGTATGTTTTTCTTTAGAAGTTTCATGTTTTATCTTTTTCTTCCTTCATAATGTTTTAATTTATGCCATTATGTGTACTTTAGATTTATAATTAACCCTCCCCCCTTTCTTTCTGAGACAGGATCTCTGTACAAAGCCCTGGCTGTCCTCAAACTCATTATGTAGGCCAGGCTGGCCTTGTCTCAGAGATCCACCTGTTTCTGCCTCCTGAGTGCTGGGATTAAAGGTGTATGCCACTTTGCCTGACTTATAACTGACATCTTAAGCTTCTTGCCTGTAAACTTACCATCTACCCCTTCTGGAATTTCTCCTAAAGCTCCATCTTTCTTGCTTTTGGCATAGACTGAGAAAATCTGACTGGGTGCCAACACTGAATTTTACTTAAGGTGGAAAGTGTTTGGGGGTAGGCAGTAAGGCTAATTTGATCCTTCTAAGGTGTTTTGGTTTCAGAACTTATTCTTCTAGCATCATCCCTCTATTGGGTGATGCCCTTCTGAGGACACACTGGTGCCCTAAGTGCAGGGGCAAAAGGCAAAAACAAAAGCAAAATTCCTAGCCGGGCGGTGGTGGCGCACGCCTTTAATACCAGCACTGGGGAGGCAGAGCCAGGTGGATCTCTGTGAG